TACCATACCCGATTATAACTACATTTCTCTACCCGTGCCCCCCCCCACTCCCCTCACTCTTGAATGGCTCCCTGTATCACGGTGCTATGGTCATTTTGCTCATCCTCCTTATAGCGCCCACTCTGATCTCCACAGAGAGCAAGAATCTCAGACTTGTTAGACAAGCTCAGGGGCCAAAGCTCCTTCAGCACTACCTCATGAGGGATAAACATTGGCCAGCAGATCCAGGGAGAACTCCACCATGGAACTGTTACACCCAACTAAGGGGACAGTTGTGATCTTGGTGTCATGTTTGGGTTGATTGCTGAATATCTTATCCATTTTAGATAATGTCATCCTTAGCTTGGAACAACGAACCTGTTCTCTCTCTGTCTCCTGTTCTCAGAAAGCCAAGGGTTAATCGCTTGACTCATGAGTTCAACCTACAGATAAAAGCAATCAAGCAATGTACAAAGATCTGTGATCAGACAAGTTTACTCAGTTTGACATCACATCCAAAAATCAGCTTTGTCAAACTTCGATAAGCAAATATTTAGTTTTGCTCAAGAGGAGTTTGAGAGTGTCATGGTGAACAGATGAAGGTAAAATACTGTGGAGATATTAAAATAAAAATAGATAATGCTGGAGGAGCAGAGTTTTTGTTTCAGGACTGTGATCTTTGTCAGAACTGACAAAAGCTAAGAGATTCAGCATGTTTTAAATGAATACAGTACAGGGAAATAAAGTCTAGGGATGGTGCGAGAAACAAAAAGATGTGAGATAAGTGGAAAGATAGGAATAATTAAATGCTATTGTAGGGTAAGGAGGGGGCAGGTGTAAATGAGTAAATAAATAAATGAGTAAACAATATAGTCATAACATCACTGCAACCTGGCTCTTGCTATCATTTCAGAAACAAAATGTTGACATAATTTTTAATGAAAATTTAATGAAAATGAAATTGGTTAAGTACTTGCAGGGCTGTGAGTGAAAGAGCACAGGCAAGGCAGACCAAAATGGATTGTTCTTTCAAAAGGGCCAGCACAGGCAAAATGGGCCAAATGGCCTCCTTCTGTACCATATCACCACAGTTCTGTGAAAAGCCTCTGATGATAGCTGAAAAAAAAATAACAGTGCACTTAAAATATTCGGAGGGTTACGTTTCCCACGATCATTTACAATCAGAAACAGTGATTGATGTAACCAAAATACCCACCAATGTAAAGAAGAAATTCCATGACAACGATGGGCAAAGTGACTTTGGAACATTATTTTGAGCCTTGAAATATTTCTATAAATTGGACCTTTGGTTAAAAAGCTCGCAAAAGGGGCTAGTGTAATTTGTCACTCATCTTATAAAACAAATCTATTCTTATTAAAACGTCTTTTGAGATTCATCTGTTCTTGGGTCACATTATGGTGGTAGTCCCTCAGGAGTTAGATGAGTTCAATATGGTACGTAAATTAGCAAGACAAAAATTATATGCAAAGCAATTTTAAACAACAAGCACAATTCTAAGTGCATTTGTAAACAGGGCATGGTTCTGAAGGAGACATAGACAGCTGCTGCCCTTCAACTCTGAAGCAATAGCTCCCACGACCCTAATTTGAGGAATTAAATTTAGTCCCTGCTCAAAATAATAATGCAATCTGTACTTACTCACAGAAAACAGCTCAGATATAAACTATGCTCCTGCCAAAAATTCCCAGCTGAGGAATTCTGGCACCAAGCTCATCCACTCCACCCACCCTCACTTCAGAAATGCTTGACACTGGAATTCTGTTTTCATACAAAGTAATCTAACTCCAAAACTATTTTGGCTCAGATTTTGCAGTCAACAGCAAATGACCTCTAGGAAAGCTGCCTGGAAAGATCTAGTGGGCTTGGTAGAGTGGGTCACCTTCACCACCGTTAATTCCATCCAGCACCAGACATATTCTCCATCCAGCAACTGCAATGTCAATACTGGATAAGCAGATGAGGAGGAAAGGGTTAACTATATCTTTGCCTCAAGAGTAGTTACTTAACGTGCATAAGGGGATGTGTCAGAATGACATCAGATTCATAAGAAAGTGTGACGAAAGTCTGTAGAATTCCCAAGATATCCTCTTTTACCATCTTTTGATGAATAGCTGGGTTTAATAAAAGGATGTTTGCTGACAGGGGTGTAGTCGTAGAGATGTACAGCACAGAAACAGACCCTTCAGTCCAACTTGTCTGTACTGACCAGATATCCTAAAATATCTAGTCCCATTTGCAGCATTTGGCCAAATCCCTCCAAACCCTTCCTATTCATCTACCCATCCAGATGCCTGTTGTAATTGTACCAGCCTCCACCAACTCCTCTGGCAGCTCATTCCATACACACACTACCCTCTACGTGAAAAGGTTGTCACTTAGGTCCCTTTCAAATCTTTGTCCTCTCACCTTAAACCTATACCCTCTAGTTATGGTCTCCCCTACCCTGTGAAAAAGACCTTGTCTATTCACCCTATCTATGTCCCTCATGATTTTATAAACCTCTATAGGTCACCCCTCAGCCTTCAACGCTCCAGGGAAAATAGCCCCAGTCAATTCAGCCTCTCCATATAGCTCAAACGCTCCAGTCCTGCAACATCCTTGTAAATCTTTTCTGAACCCTTCTAAGTTTCACAATATTTTTCCCGTAAATGCAGTATTTCAAAAGTGGACTAACCAATGACCTGTAAAGCCGCAACATGACCTCCCAACTCCTATACTCAATGCACTGATCAATTAAGACAAGTGTACTAAATGCCTTCTTCACTACCTTGTCTATCTGTGACTCCACTTTCAAGTAATTGTGAATTTGCACTCTAAGGTCTCTTTGTTCAGCACCACTCCCCAGGACCTGACCATTAAGTGTATAAGTCCTGCCCTGATTTGCCTTTCCAAAATGCAGTACCTCACATTTATCTAAATTAAACTCCATCTGCCACTCCTCAGCCCATTGGCCCATCTGGTCAAGTCCCGTTGTACTCTCAGTTAATCTTCGCTGTCCACTACACTCCCAATTTTAGTGTCATCTGCAAACTTACTAACCATGCCTCCTATGTTCACATCCAAGTCATTTATATAAACAATAAAAAGCAGTGGGCTTAGCGCCAATCCTTACAGCACATCACTGGTCACAGGCCTCCAATTTGAAAAGCAGCCCTCCACAACCACCTTCTGTCTCCTACTTTTGAGCCAATTTTGTATCCAAATGGCTAGGTCTCCCTATATTCCACGCGATCTAACCTGGCTAACTGGTCTACTATCCGGAACCTTGTTGAACGCCTTTCAAGTCAATATAGACAACGTCCACTGCTGACTTCATCAGCCTTATTTGTCACTTCTTCATAAATCTGTCAGGTTAGTGAGACATGATCTCCCATGCACAAAGCCATGTTGACTATCCCTAATCAGTCCTTGTCTCCAACAACTCACCTACCAACAGTTGTGCGTAGTTCTTGTCACCGTTATAGGAAGGATTTTATTAAACTAGAGAGGCTTCAGAAAAGATTTACCAGGATGTGGCCAGGAATGGAGTTATAAAATTTGAGTTATAAAAATAGACTAAGACTTGGACTTTTTCACTAGAGTGTAAAGGGTTGAGGGATGACCTTATATAGAGGTTTCATAAAATCATGAGGGGCATAGATAAGGTGACTGACAAGAGTGTGGGAGTTCAAAATTAGGGGGCATTCTTTTAAGGTGAGAGGAGGAAGATTTACCAAGGGCATGAGGGACAACTTTTTGTTTTAAACACACAGAGTGGTTTGTATGTGGAATGAACTGCGAGAGGAAGTGGTGAATGCAGGTACAGTTACAATGTTTAAGAGACATTTGGATACGTTCATGAATAGGAAAGGTTTGGAGGGATATGGGCCAAATATAGGCAAGGTAGAACTAATTTATTTTGGGAACATGGTCAGCATGGACTGGTTAGACCTAAGGGTCTGTTGCCACGCTGTATGACTCTATGACTATGCAACAACGACACCTGATTTTTTTTTAAATTTGCTCATGGGATGTGAGCATTACAGGCTAGGCCAGCATTTATGGCACGGAGGGCAGTTAAGAGTCAACCATATTGCTATGTGTCTGGAGTCAGACTGGATAAGGATGGCAAGTATGCCATAGTGAATCAGATGAACTTTTATGACAGTCAACAGCACTTACATGGTTGCCATTGGAATAGCCTTTTTATTCCACTCTTATTGAATTCAAATTTTACTATTTGCCATTTTTAAAGAAACTCACTCAGGGAATGTGGGTGTTACTGGCTGGACCAGCATTTATTGCTCATTCCCAGCTGACCTTGACAGAGTGGTGGTGAGCTGCCTTGTGAAGCACTTTGTCCATGTGCTGCAGGTAATCCATAATGCTATTAGGGAAGGAGTTCCAGGATTTTGAAATGTGACACAAAGACAGAGACATATTTCCAAGCAGGATGCCTAATGGCTTGGGGGAAATAGTTGCAGGATGTGGTGCTCCCATGTATCTGCTGCCCTTGTTCTCTAGATGCCAATGTTCACAGGTAGAATTCAAACCCACGTCCCCAGAACATTACCTTGGAGTTCTGTATTATTAGTCCAGTGACATTACTGTAATATAACCATGCCCCCTTACTTCAGCACCCAATCAAATTAAAGCATTGTCACCAACAGGAAACCAGCAAGTTCTCAAGGCTAGTTAGGGATGTGCAATACATACTGGCCTAGCCAGAGAGTGACCAAAAGTTTGCACCAATGGACTGGAGTTGAAAGCAGAAGAGATCGACTTGAGTTAGGAATGGGTAGCCCCAAAAGTGAACACCAGCTGGGTTTGGAGATAAGGAGGTCAGAAACTTTGGAAGGATTCCCACTGATAATTTAATCAACTTTGTTCTTTTATGGAAAGCAACACACAATAAACATGTGTTGACAGCTCCGTATATTCTTATTACAAGGAACTATATTCCCTCCTCACATATATTCAAGAGGCCCCAAACACCAATAGAACACAAAACCAGTGCAAGTAAAACACAAGAACATTTTATTAGATTTTTTTCAATAAGGTCAATCTTCTATATTCATATTCAACATGCAATCCAAAAATAATCAGTTATTACTGGATCAATATGTGAAGGCAAAAGTTGTACCCATACCTTTTCCATTCTGCCTGATTATTTCACCCACTTAATTAGCTGCAGTATTCTGAAGCACCCTAAGTAATCACAGAATTCAAAAATAATTGTATTTGACTTTTTTTTGGAACTTCCTTGTGCCATCCCTGAGCAATTTGATTAAAATTTTAAATTGTTTTCTACCCTTTCCAGACTTTAATACCCACCCATTCCCCCACCCAGCCCCATGAGAAAAGCCTGGCAATCATAGGCCATCTCAGACCACATTTATGGCCTTTAAAATAGAAAACCCGCAACTACAAAACATTTGCATAGAACACAAGCTAGCAATCGACAAATGCAGTCTAGTTCCAACGTTCCTTTCTCAGAATAGGTCCACTATGAGGTTGATCCATTCTTGTGTAGCTAATAAGGCAGATGCTTCGAGCCTTCCTCAAATGTTGGCATGTAATGACACTTCCTCTTCCAAAAAGTTTGAAGGAATGGCTTTATCCTGCATTTATTGAAACCCTAGCCTTTTTTTCCCTCCTTTTTGAAAGTAACTTAAAACTGGAATATTGCAATCAGATCGGGCACTGACAATACTGGCACCAGGACACATTTGTACCAGTCGATCACTAGTTACAAGTGTTGTACTTGGACACAATTGTGAGAAAGGCAGCATTTATATTTTAAATGTACTTTTCTCATAATAGAGTGCAGTCCTTTAAAAAAAGGACTGCAAGTGGTCCACTGCATTATGACAATTAATTGGGTAATCTTCAGTTTGCAAAGAAAAACTGTCTACGAAAATGTGAAGTTTCAGTACAGTTGTGATGAAAACAGGGCCCTTTCACAGTGTGCGGTGGCAAGCACGAGGTATGTAACGTTATAACTCCTCTTTCCGCTTTGAAATCTTCTCATGGTCCTGCCCTCGCATTGCTCGGATATAGTTAACGAAAGCAGCTTCCTAAGACAAATAACAATTACACGTAGAAAACAATGATCTTTTTTTCGAACAAAATAAGAAATTGTTGGAGAAACTCAGCACCTTGGGCAGCATCTGTGGAGACAAAGCAGAGTTAACATTTTGGCCTTTCTTCAGAACATAGTTGAGCTATTCCTCTACCAGTGAAAATCTCTCTTCAGAATGAGTAGCATCTGCATCTCCATGAAACGCCTATGGGAAAGGTTCAGAGCATTCCCTCAATGTCCCAGAGGTCAGCTACAGACAGCTCACTCCAATCCTGAGCCAGAATAACACATTACAGAGGTGCTATGTGAAGCACAACATTCTTTTTTATGAGAAAGGTGCTCAGCGAGGTGAACGATAATTCATGCACTCTGCGCTCATACCGAAGTACTCAGAACATAGCACAACACGGATAGCAACAAACTAAAGCTTCATCCTGTCTGCGTCAGCTACTCGTTTCAGAAGCAGCTTTGGGAAAATTTACTACTACCTTTATCCATTTCTCACACTACGTGTCCCTCCATGGGTTCAATAAACAGAATGGCCAAATTAGATTAATTAGTACCAAATTAAAAGCAATGCAATTGTAGTTCCATGTCTGTTCGGAACTAAATAGAGACTGCCCAAACTTATTGCACGTGAATCTTACAGCTAGCGGAGTAGTCTGGACTGGTGCCCAAAATGCCTAATCCATTGCATCACCCAGTCCTTTTGTTTTCTTTAAAAGTAACTGAAAAGGCTGCGATTCAAGTTGTAGAAGCACTTTCTCCAAAACATTCTCTTATAATGATCACATCAATATGCAATCTCCTCATTGTGCAATAATTTGATGCAAGGATTAGTTCAGAATTTCCTCCTCATTAACTTCACTGATTCTGTGCTGAATGACAGTTTCGTAAAAACATAAAATAACATCAGCAATCAGAGCAGAAATAGGCCATTTGGTCCGTCGAGTCTGTTCCACCTTTCAGTAAGATCATGGTTGATTTACTGTGGGCTTAATTTCACTTTCCTGCCTTCCCCACAACACACACACACCATATAACCCTGGACTGCTTTGTTACCCAGAACTCCATCTTTGTAAATTTATTTGTTCTTTTATAGGGTGTAGACATCATTGACAAGACCAGCACTGGTTGTCCATCCCCAAATACCTTGAATTCTACAAGCCATTTTCAGAGGGCAGTTAGGGGAATCAATCACATTGATGTAGGTCTTGAGTTTCACGCAGGCCAGACTGGGGAACATCAGGTTTCCTTTCCTAACGGATGTTAGTGAACCAGATTAATTTTTTTGCTGCCATGATAGGATCTGAATCCATGTCCCCAAACATTAGCCTGGTCCTTTGGATGACTAATCCAATGACATTACCACTATGTCCGACCTTCCTTGTGTATCTCAGCCTTGAATATACCCAAGACTAGTGATACTAATTGCTCTTCACCTATTTCAAAGATAGAGAGCACAGAAAAGATGTACACCACAGATAGCGGATTTACTTTGAAAAGTGTCTTGCTCAAATGGAGCATTTTATTAGTTGAGGAGAGAAAGGTCAGGAGGATATTTGATAGAAATGTTCAAAATTAGGATGAATTTTGATGAGTTAAATAGGGAAAATCTACTTCCATTGACTAATAACTGGAATGTGTAAATTAAGATCTTCACCAAAAGAATGAAAAGTGATTATTTTTCTAAATATGACAGATACATTAGAGACATTTAAACGACTCTTGGCTAGGCACATGGATAATAGTATAATGTAGGGTATGCAGGATAGTTTGATCTTAGTAGGATAATAGGTCAGCACAACATTATGGGCTGAAGGGCCTGTAACTGTGCTGTACTGTTCTGTCTATCTTCTATGACAGATTCGGGGTAGGGGAGAGGGTAGCGAGTACTGGACCGTAGACAATGTTGGCAGCAAATGTCACAATAACCTTTCTTTAAAAAAGTGAATTTATATTTGAGTTTTTTTATTGCACAACATGGTGTGGAGATTAGGACAACAAAAAATACTTTCAGAGACAGATGCTGGTGCAAAGAGCTCAATGGCCCAATATTCTGCCATAACATTTTATGATTCCACTTGTCCAAGTAGCCCTGTCAGCAGACTGTCTTGACATGTGGTGTGGAGTTCAGGTGGTTATCATGTACAAGCCTGATCCCTGCAAACCAAATGTTCTGGCTGTGCATTTCCAGAGGTGATCATAAGAGGGAACCCTGCCTGAGTTTTACCTTATCTGGCCCAAAGACCAATGGTCCCCATAGTAGTATTCTGTCTGACGGATAGTATTTAACACAGTCAGTTGTTATTTGATATTGAGCCAGGCTTTTGACTTCTTGAATCCTTTCTATAGTCCACCTGGATCCACTTCTGTGATACTGCATTTGTTCACTCTTACCCAGATCCATCTACTGCTGAAGCCTTCAGCCATGTTTTTGTTCCCCAATTCAACTACTCCAACATTTACCGCCATCTGGAAACCTGCTCATCCAAAAGTGTGCTATTCATTTCCTAACTCAAATCAGGTCCTGTTCACTAACACCCTGTGTGACCAGGTCTAAAATGAATTTAAAATTCGAATCCTCCAGTTCAACTTCCTTAGCCCAAATCTCAGATATCCTTCAGTTTTTCTAATTCTTCCGCATCCACAACTTCTTTCACCATAGCATTTGCAGCCAAGCTCTGAATTTTCATATGTAAAAACCTCACTACTTCTCTGAGACACTCACTCGAAATGTACTTCTTTGACTAAGCTTTTGGTTATATCGCCTAATGACTCTTTCTTTGGCTTTGGCACACTGGTAATGTCACTATACTAGTAATCCACAGTTCCAAAGTTTCTGGTGAGATGGGTTCAAATCCCACGATGGCAGATGGTGAAATTGGAATTCGATATTAAAAAAATCTGGAATTAAAAGCTAGAAAAATGGCAACCATTGTTAATAGTCATAAAAATCCATGTGATTTAATGATGTCTGGAAGGGATAAAAATTTGCCATCCTTACCTGGTTTGCATTACTCCAGATCCATAGCAATGTGGTTGACACTTAATTGCATCTGAAATGACTGAGTAAGTCATTGAGTTCAATGGCAACAACTAAATGTCAGAATATAGGCCTAGTTTTCACAATCTCTTCCTAGACAACAATCCCATTACATCAAGAAACAGTCGTAATTACCTAGGTTGTCCTTCCAATAAATCAGGTATGCCCTTTCCTAGGTAAGACGACCAAAACTGTATACACTGTTCCAGGTGAGGCCGCCCCTGTTTAATTGTGTTAATAGCTCTTTGTCTTTATGCTCCCTATGTGACACATCTACAGTGTTTACACCTCCAAGAGCTTCTGCTCAAGAGTTCATGAGATGGCGACAAACTACAGTCATCGGGGCACTTACAGGGAGATAAAAAAAACTACTAGGGTTTCTCTGGACCAAGAGGCAGTCACGTCATTTAGGATTTGAGTTCTGATGAAGACTCAACGAACTTGAAATGTTAACTCTGCTTTCTTCCCACAGATGCTACCAGACCTGCTGAGTTTCACCAGCAATTTCTGTTTTTGTTTCATTTAGGATTGAGTCTGGTTTACTCAATGATCAGACAGGAATGTCTGACCACAAGTGAGGCAGGTAAGGGGATTCAAAAGGCAGTATTGCAGGAGTATAAAGCTCTGCAATTGTCCACCAGGTTTCAGCTTCTTTCAACTTGTTTGGATGCGAGTGGGGACTGCAGAGTGAATGAGCTGACTAACCACGGCACAGGATGCCATTCAAGTGTAGACAACAGCAAGAAATTAGTGGGAGTTTGGGATAGTATAGGGAGGGGAATAGACACTGTTTTATACAGCTAAGATCATCAGTCCTAGAAAGTTCAGGGGCCTGCCTGGTGCCAGGGCTCAGAAACTTACAGTGGGGGGCAGAGGAATCAGTTATGGCAGTCAATATACAAGCACAAACTGGAATCTGGAATTTATTGCCTGCAAGGTTGATGCAAAGAAAAACCTTCATAACGTTTTAGTAGTATTTAGCTATGTACTTGCAATGCCAATGCTTACAAGGCTGTGGGCCGAGTGCTGGAATGATGGGATTAGAATATTTAGGTGGTTGTTTTTGACCAGCACTGACCTGGTGTGCTGAAGGGTCTTTTCCTCTGCTGTTGATCTTTCCATGAATAAGGGATGGACAATACATGCTGGCCCAGCCACCAACGTCCACAACTCATGAAAAAATAAAACTAAATTATTGTAATGTTCCTGTGAAGCACCCTTGGGACATTTTACAACATTAAAAAGGTGCTTTGTTAATGTAAGGTGTTGTTTTGACTTTAACTTGGAATGTTCTCACTGCGTGTGGGCTAGCAACTCCACAATTTCTGCACTATCATCAAAAGTGTCGTGCAGGGCTCCATTTGAAGAAAGTAGATCATCACAAAGCTCTGAACACTTAAGATGAGAGAGGAAAATGGACAATGAGTAAGGAGAAGAGAGAATTTCACAGAGAGCGAATTATATTCATGGAATCTATTTTTTTTTAAACTGCTTTAACTAAACCTTTCAATACCAGAACTCATTCGTTCTTTGTACTTACAGAAATAATTCATTTTCTAGAGCACTTTGGAATATTTCGGAGAGATAAGGCTGCATATATTTTATATTATATAAAACAAAATACTTTCTCATAAAATTCAGATCCCTAAATAACCAAAGTCCTTGGAAAAAAATAATTTTCCTATAGAGTTGAACTGCTCAATTTTGTGTGACTACAGGTCACTTGTCTCTTGAAGGCATCAGCAGTTCAGTGGACTGAAAACGTTCTTTTGTGTAGTACCTGCTCCCAGTTAAGATTTCTTTCCCTTTGTTTAGCTGCTTGGCTATCTTGTCTGAACATCGAGTGCCATGTTTAAAATCTGAGGCAAGCTTGAGAGTGCTCCACAGGCAGAAGGCTTTTGTTGCTACAAGCTGGTCAGTGTTCTCATTTGTTTGTCCTCAGAGGTACACTCTACTTACCAAAATGCACCCTGGTCTTAATCGCGCACAAACGGAGGATGGAAGGGACCTACTGAACTACAACCAGTTAAACCATGTAGCCCGATGGTAATAAAAACCGAAAGAAGTGCGGATGCTGTAAATCAGGAACAAAAACAGAAGTTGCTGGAAAAAGCTCAGCAGGTATGGCAGCATCTGTGAAGAAAAAAAATCAGAGTTAACGTTTTGGGTCTGTTCCGAGGAAGGGTCACCAGACCCGAAACGTTAACTCTGATTTTTTTTCTTCACCGATGCTGCCAGACGTGCTGAGCTTTTCCAGCAACTTCTGTTTTTGTAGCCCGATGGTTTTGCTGGCTGGTTCCCACATTGGGACCATTCACCTGTTGCAAAGATTTGTACAACCTCAGGATATCCAAAACTCTTCAAAAAAACTTCACTGATTGTGAAAGGCAGGAAATGGGACAACTAATTCAGATACATCAAAGTCCTACAGCTGCAGTGGTAAATAACCAGACAAGATCTGTTTGTAGTAATGTTGGATGAGAGATAATTATTGGTCAGGGCACCAGGGAAAATTCAAAGCAAAAGACAATAAATGCTGAAAATACTCAGCAAGTCTGTGGAGTTGAGAGTTAATGCTTCAGTTCTGTTACCTTTCATCAGAGAATTTCCTTTCTTCTTTCCAAATAGTACCATTGACAGCAATGTTAGGGCCTCATGACGCATGCTTTTGATGACACATAGAACATAGAACTGCACAGTACAGGCCCTTCGGCCCACGATGTTGTGCCGAAATTTTACCCTAAACCTAACGTCTATCTAACCTCCACCCCTACCTTATACTATCATCCATATGCCTATCTAATAGCCACTTAAATGCCCCTAATGAGGCCGACACCACTACCCTCTCCAGCAATGCATTCCACGCCCCTACCACTCTCTGAGTAAAAAATTCGAGAAGTGGCACCACTATTAGTGCAGCACTCCCTCAGTACTGCACTGGATTATCAGCCTAGAGTTTGTGTACAGTTGCTAAGAGTGAGCGTGAAAACCACATTCTTCTTACTCAGCTCCAAGTGTTTTTGCCAAACAGTCACAGTTGACACCTGTTAGTGCACTGGCTTACACAGACCTACCTAAAGGCAAAATGACGACCTGTAACCCCCAAAAGCTGGTTTACCTGTCCAGGTTCAATCAGTAGCTGGTTGGTTAGCAATAATGCCCTGAAACACAATGGACCTGCTTGGTTCAGAAATCAGGATCAATGAGGCTGCTACAGACGATTGACTTAAGTTACAATGTCAATCAAGTGTTTTAGCTTGGAGCTGCACTGACCTGTCTTCGGTTTCCTAATCACTCAAGGACACTCCTCATACAAGTGAGAACAAAGAGTCAATATCAAGTTATACTCACCGCTCTTTCCCCACTGTACCTCTCCATAAATTTTCCATAATTGTAATAGCTGATCATGGGGTATCCCTCCACACCTTCCTGTTTGCATAGCTCATGATTCTGTCCTTTAGTGCAATCAACTGCAGCATAGGCAATCTGCAAATTGAAATTAAAACAGGCTGACAAACAACTGAAATAAAATAGGCAATATTGCAATTCCGTCTTGATGGGTAAAAGATGAAAAGTTGCAACTGTGTCTCTTCTTTCAGCAATACTCGCGCCCTGTGCTGCCATGTGGCAACAGACAATAAGCTTGGGTCTGAACAAAAACAGCAACAGGGTCAACTGGTGCCATTGGACATTGAAGTACCAAATTGCTGAATTAAACGCCTTTTATTGTATTGGTCAAGCTCTGTGGGATCAATGATCTCTGAGAGCTGGCAATCTCCTGTGATAGCTACATGGAACATACAGAAAGTAAAGGGCTCTTCTGGAACAGTGGTAGGGCCCATGCAATTGAACCAGGAGAACTGGGTGTACAGTAACATTTTTGAACAGGCTGATTAGAAAATATCTGGAACATAAAAAGAGTAATAGGGTCCAAACAGTTCATTCACCATTCAAACCTGTTCCCATCTTCCCTCACCCAACATTAAAACCCTCTACTCTCACCTACTTATCTAATTTCCCCTTAACTGCGTCTATGCAATTTGGTGTGGTAGCAGTTGCACATTTGCACCATATTTGGGGGAACAAAGTTTATTTTGAATTCTGGGGAAGAAGGGCAAAGGAGAAACCATGCATTTATCTTCTACCCAGTGGGAGGAGGAGACAGGATCTCCTCCTGCAACAGGTAGCTCTTCACAGATAAAGGTAGTTAGCACTCCAGGTGGCAATTTTTATCTTCACATTACAAAGCCCTTAAATGTCAACTTTTCAACACAATACACAGTTGAAAAAATTGACCTGCTAGAACATGAGGGGGGAACGGGGGGTCTTGCTGCTGCTACCCAAAGCCCTGGTTAGGCAACATCTACAGGACTGCTTGGAGTACAGATTTAAGATCATTGGCAAAGACAGCAATGGAGACAAGAGGAGAATCTTTCTTGCTCAGTGAGTGACTAAGGTTTGGAATTATGTGGCTTGAATATGGGGGCAGCAGATGCAATTGAGACTTCCTGGAAGAAATGGGATTACTGCCTGAAAAGAATGAATATGCAGGGGAATGCTATTAGGTGCAGTGCTTATTCAGAGTACTGATACAGAAACAAGGGGCCAAATGGCCTCCCCCATGGGGCTACAACAATTCTGTTCTGGGCACCCCACCCCAGACCTTGGAGGAGTGACATATGGATTTACTAGAATAATACCTGGTCTTCAGGATTAAAATGAGATTAAATAAAACACTATCCATGGAACATGACCATTGTCAGCAACGTCAGCATTTATTGCCTATTACACAAAGTTAGATTGTCTTAAGGGACGATGCTATAGTAGTTTGTTCATGTTGTCTCAGGGAGTTAACAGGGTAGATAGAAAGTCATTTCTGCTGGTTGGGTTGTCTAGAACAAGGGAATACAGCCTGAAGGCTGAAACTTTCCTTAAGAAAGGCACAGACAAGCAAGCACAGGTGGTGGTAACAGTTTTGCAAACTGCAATGGCAATTTAAATCAACTGCTCTTCGGTAAATTATTAAATTTATCAAATTTTAAAAAATCAAAGGGATGTAGGGTGAAGTTAGGTATATGAAATTAGTTCACAGATCAGCTCAGTTTAAGTGATGGGTTGAACGGCCGTTTCTTACGTTCCTAATCATGCATTCAGAAAACACAACTGCAAATCAAAAAAATTTTTGAAAACCCATGCAGGCAAAGTTCAAACAATCTAGACAAGCAAAGAGAAATCTTTCTCCATAGCTCAGAGAGCAACTGAACAGTGATGTGTGGGAATGAGCCATACTGAGTAGGAAAAACCTCAGACTTGGTCCCTGCCCACATGCTGTTAGTTGATCTCTGGTAGGCAGTGGTGGGAAAAAAATGTTTAGTATCCCTGGACTGAAGGCGTAAAAGAATTGATAAGGTATTACTGTATCTGATCACTAGCTAGCAACACTTGCTGGAAATTGTTTTAAACCAATTTGATGACCACCATAAAATCATAGCTCCAATGGTACCCAATTACAAATGTCATAGCTTACACTGTCGTAAATTATCGAAGGGTTGTAAGTACTGTATTCTTAAATGAATAATTTCTTCAGAAGACTGGAGAAAAAAATGACAAGGAACAGCAGTGAAGAGAATTAAAAAATAACAATCAGCCTCCTCTTAAATACTTTGTGACAATATTAATTTCTCCCCATCTTAAAAGCACCAGGTTCTAGCTAAAGCAAAAGGTACCAGGTGATTTTGCTTGTGCGAGAGAATCAATATTGACCACGGACTACAGGGTGAACAGCAGAGTCAATCCTGATTCTGTTCTTTGAATCTCAACAGAGGTTAGTGGATAGTCCCCACTGTGGCTGATTCAGAACCATTTTGACAATGGGACAGTATGTGATCAATGGCCTCAGCACAGACCAAACTAAACCAGTAACCTTATTGTTCAGCTGCTTGTCTATAGACATGTGATGAACATGAAATCTATTGGTCCCTTGTAAGACAGAATTAGTGGGGCAGTGCGGGGGGAAACAAAAATGAGAGTGACAGAGAAAAGTTGTGCAAGACAGATGACGTAGGATGCAAGCTGTCAACACTGTCAGCAATATGGATAATCCTCCACTTGCTGATAAAGAGCATGAGACAAAATCAGAGGAAAGGGGTAAATTCACCCTTTTAACCTGCAAACTGAGAAAATTCCAGTAAGCTGCGTAATTACTCTAATCATTCTGCTGTCACTACATCTCAAATCCAGGTGACATTTGTTTGCACAGTAAATCACTAAGTGCCCAACATTTTGGAGTGGAATTTTGATGGTATGATCGATTAATAAATATTTCCTACAGAAAGTACCATGTTATTTAGTCTATATGTGTCACCAATGTGACGCTTTAATGTAATGCAGCTTAAAAAGAATGATTAGCAGCGATTGGAGCCACTGACTTGCACTGGGTAACAGTCTGCAGAGAAGCACATTGAGCAGCAGAGTAACTGCAAATAAATGAATTGCACCATATTAAATTCAAATGCTGTTTTACCATTTCACCTCCCTGTTTTTTTAAAAAAAGCATTGCCAGTTATTTTTCTCTTTGCTTCATAAAAGCCCTGGTTTTTTGATGGACAAAGTCATAACTCTGCAACAAAAAGTGCCTCGTTACCTCTCCTGTCCTCTGTGTGTCAAGTCGGTCGTTTGATCACAGGGACTGTATCGCTGATTTGATCCTGCCCTTACCCAACAAACAGGTGCTCATGCAGCAGGAACTGGGCAGGAGGCTTGGGAAGTTGCCTTTTCTTTGGCTCAAAGGCACTTCAATATGCACATACATTTAACAGGGAAAAGCAGCCCACTGAGCTTCATATATGCACATGGGGAAGAACTGCAAGAGGAGATGGAGGCTGAATTACAGATGATTGAAAGGGTGATGAATAAGGTGCAGCAAGATAGCTCCAGGGTGCACACCGCTGGTTTGAAGGGAATTTATGCAGATCCATCCACGACCTCAGTACACCTCTCCCAAATGCTCTGAAGCCAATGAAGTACATTTTAAAGTTTGTTGTAATGTAGGAAATCAGTCAATTTGCACATGACAAACTCTAACAAACAAAAATGTTACAATGACTAGGTGAGGGATGTTAGCTGAGGGACCAAAAACTGGCCAGATAGTGGGAAAATCTCCTGTGCTGTTCAAGTGCATGAGGTCCTTTATATCCTGAAAGGGTATACCCAGACTTTTTCTTAATTCACTTCTGGAATGTGGGCATTGTTGGCTGCCAGCATTTATTTTCCCATCTCTAGTTACTTTTAAGAAGGTGGTGGTGAGCTGCCTCCTTGAACCGCTGCAGTCCATGTGCTGTAGGTTGACCTACAATACTCTTGGGGAGGGAATTCCAGGATTTTCACTCAGTGACAGTGAAGGAACAATGAAATATTTCAAGTCAGGATGGTGAGTGGCTTGGACGAAAACTTGAAGATGGTGGTGTTCCTATGTATCTGCTGCCCTTGTCCTTCTAGGTGATAGTGGTTTTGGGTTTGGAAGGTGCCTGTCCATAGATCTTTGGCAGATTGCTGCATTTGTAGATAGCACAACTGCTGCTACTTGAGTTTTGGTGATGCAAGGACTGAATATTTGTTGCTGTGGTGTCAATTAAGCAGGCTGCTTTGTCCTGGATGGTGTCAAGCTTCTGACGTGTATTTGGAGCTGGACCCAACCAGGCAAGTGGGGAGTATTCCACCACACTCCTGACTTATGCCTTGTAGATGGTGGAAGCCAGGTGAGCTACTCAGTGTAGCATCCCTAGCCTCTGACCTGCTCTTGTCGCCACTGTGTTTATATGGTGAATCCAGTTGAGCTTCTGATCAATGGTAACCCCAAGATGTTGATAGTGGTGGATTCAGTGATGGCAACATCATTCAATGTCAAAGGGTAGTGGTTAGATCGTCCCTTATTGGAGATTGTCATAGCATGGCATAGACGTGCTGCAAACGTTATTTTGAAATCTAAAACCTTTAACCTTAAATATATCTTTGAAACTAATCAAAAGATGGCATCTCTGACAGTGCAGCCCTACCTCACCACTGTACTGGAATCTGGGTTTTTGCATTTGCATCTCTGTACTGGAGCTTGAACTATCAAACTTCTGGCTCAGAGGCCAGAGTATTACACACTGAGCCACAGTTGAATGCCTCACTAAATACCTGCAGCATCCCGGCGTTGGATGAGGATAAAAGCTGTGATGAGAATTTGAAGCTACATGAGGTAAAGCAACTTAAGGCCATGGGATGATTTGTAAATAGGAACCTCAATATTGAATAAGGCAATTACAACAAACAGTGAATATTGAGATGGAAACTAGAATTCACACAGGACGATAACCCAATAAAAGTGACAGCAACTTGCATTTACAGAGCAGGATGGCAGTGATGGAATAGTCTGAAAAGGAAAACCATTGGAAGATAGAGGTGAAAAGCAGTGAAGCAATTTAGGGTTGGAGTCAGCAATG